ATTTCGAACACAGATTTTTTTTTCATGATTAACTTTCTTGAGAGAACATCAATAACATCATGATTTTTAATAATAAAAACCACACTCCACAACCTATCGTTTCATCGATGTCAAACGAACCTGATACCACGTTATGTAATCGACACTACACTGATATGATCTCATAAGAAATATTGTAGATAACTTGAATTCATTGCAAAGGGTTTATGTATTTTTATAAACAAATCCGCGCTGATTTTAATATGTACCGTTTTAACTATTTATTAAACATTTATGAACTAAATAAAGATTGTTATAAGGTCTCCGATATAATTCCGTCCCGACTTCGCACGGGTTCAATTCGGAATGTTTTTTTTCGACATTGTATTATAAACCTCTAAAATTATCAGTGTTTTTCTATAACATTATGCATGAATTAAACCTTACTCTTGAATCACTCTATCTATTAAATAAAACCGCATCAAAATCCGTTGCGTAGTTTAAAAGATCTAAGCATATATAGGGACAGACAGACAGCGACTTTAATTTATACTATGTAGTGATGAATATTGAATTGAACTATAATACGGTCATTATAACGAAATGAAACAAAAATAACGTCAGAATTTGATCAAAAAGGCAGAAATGACAGCTATACCCTCGTCCTGATACCGAGCTAAAGGTGGGACCGTTAAAAAGTAACTGTTGCCTCGCTATACAACGACGGAGCACTCCAAGTAATCGGTATTAACATACATAACTTGAATGTACATTGCTCGGTGGGAGTCGGGGCGTACGAAAATGACAACGGAGCGGACAATGGACGCCGCGCGAGCGAATAAATCACTGGTAATGGTGTAACGGAGTAACTGCCTCGGTACGGGAGTCATCGACTATATATTGCTTAACTAGCAATCATCCGTCAGCGTCCGTGCCAAATTCGGAATTTCTATGCAGTAGCTGCAGAAGGGGCATCGTCAAACCACATCTCAAGTCTATTAATATTACTAAATAATATATAGATAACAGGACGCCCATAGTAACAAGTTTAATAAAGCCACGCCCGGTTACTGGCACATCTAGCTTTGCAATAAAATTACTATAATTTTAGTGAATTGAATAGGATTAATTATTATAATTGTTATTCAAAGCTGTATCAATATCTGAGCATGAATACGTCAAGCAAACAGTTTAATTTTCTTTTGATTCGCAAATCTTAGTCCACATTTCCCAAAGTGAAGGAAAAACTCATAATCACGATTGGAAACTTCATAATTTCACACATTATTATCCAAATGTTTTCCCACATACGTTTCAAAGGGTGTATATTATTGTTAACATTAAGTTGATTTGAGGCCTCACTTATAAAACCAAAGCAACTAGCGGAACGCGTCAGCGATGCAGGCAATATCAACGGTTATGCTAAACCGCATTCAACCTTCAAGTCTTTAACTTCATTTCAGCTACGTAGATCTCGCCCGCAGAGTTCTGCACTGAACAGTTGGCGTCCATATTTTATTTTTAGTGTACTATGGGAATGTCTATCCACTTGATGTCCTTCATAATGCCACTCGATTGGATCTTTCATTTCATTCCGTCAACCACGCTCATCAAAGAGAACCAGTGTCATAATGAATAGCCGAAGAAAGATCAAAACGAAGACAAAGTTATGAAATCGCATTACAATGATGCTTGACTCCCTTTGCTGACGTTATGAGGCGATAAATTGTTATCGAAACGATAATAGTACACTACGCACCAATATGATTACAATATGTCATAAAATGGTTTTCGAGTGAAGAATTTTCTAATATTTGCGTTTAAATTACATAGTTACTCTTAGATTTTTTAAAAACAATTCCAAATTACGAAATTGTTTAAAATTCAACTTTACATGTTTACTACCTTTGAATTCTATATTACAATTTGCTTAATTCCCAAAATCGAATGATTGGACGTAAAACGTGTGGTCAATCAATGGTTGCAGCTATGAACCAAGCTTTCCAATATCGATATATGAGTACAGTTTGCAATCCAAATTAACTAAATTTAGAGATAGAAAGAGAAAAAAACTCTTTGTTTAAAAAATAATATACAAAATGGATATATTATAATATGAATATATACATGGTATTTAAGAAAATAATATAACAGAATATATCACATTTTATCGAGTTGCAATATTCTGTGAACACTACGAGCATAAGTGATCACGGCATCACTATAATAAGAAACAAAAGAAAGTTTATTTAAACGTCAGTCAATTCTTATTTCAAACCTGCACTGTACATGGGCGGGGCCTACACCGTAATCGTTGTAAGCAAAAGTTACTTTTAATAGAACGATCAAGAATTTCGTTTATTTACCACTAACCATCTAATAATGCGGCATGACGCGTCCCTATTCCGAAAATCTTAGAATTGGATCCGAGATATTTCCATCCATATATCGCACTAAGCGCGAAAGAGATAGAAATCGGTGTTCCGAACAAAAGGAAGGGTCAGGTAGAAATTGACAAACACGGTCTATCACATCATGGGAAAAAATAATAAATATTTTAAAAGTGATTAATAACCATTGTTTAAGGAGTCCGAGGACGGGGTAAATTGATTACGTCACACAATACCCACACATTTTTGTAATAGTTTTCACAATTATGTTCGTCAACTTCTTTTGACATTTAAACATCAAAAAATTATTTACATGTGTAGGTACATTCTGCATAATCTGTGAGTTCGTAAAAAAAGTAATTAACCCAAATATAAACATCTCCTACATATCAACATTTATAATTTGCTTATGAAAATGATTTAAGTGGTGAATTAAAGTGCCGACGTCGTCTGAAGGTATTATTATATTTTATCCGTTACATTTAAAAAAAAAACAACAAAAGGACACAATAAAAAATAAAACAAAAATAAATTTAACTTTACAATTATCTATATTGATGCAAAGTAAAGTATTTGTTATAAAAATATTAAAATTTATAAGTATACGAAAAGACATTGTAATAACGGAGACAATAAAAACAACATTTACCTCAAATATAAAAAGGAAACAGTCCAAAACAAAAAGCAACGGCAGTGGCACCACAAATTAAAAACAATAACGCACTAAACAACTCGAAAACCGCACGCTTAATTTAAACATAATGCCAACCTCAACGGGCTGTATCACATGGAACGATCAACTTAATACTTGTCCAAACAGGCGAGAGCTACATAACTAAATTGAGCGGTATTTGTCTGAACGTGTGTTAGCGACGGCTTCGCGCGCCAAACTGAGCCGCGTTGCTCCGTGCTCGGTAGCCGGTGTTCCACTCCGAAGTTCCAGCTATGCCCCGTGAAGAGGGCGCCCCGCGCCCTGCCGACCCTTTGAAGGATACCTCATTATCCTATCTGTAATCCATGCCCTTTTGATGATTTTCATTTGTCTAGTTACACGCTTTACCTTTCATCGAAATCGCATTGGTCTAGTCTACCATAAACTAAGTTAACTTGCTTTTTGCTTGTGCTTAATGCCCCGAAACCTTGTGGTTAATTGGAACAACTCAATAGTTAATTAATTTGTTATCGTGAGTTATCCTATTTTTTTAGTTAGTTAGTTAGTTTTTTAGTTAGTTAGTTAGAGACACTTTTGAACGAATGAATTGTATGAAAAAGGTTGTACGAGTCTGATGAATGATTTCGGGCGGAAAGCATTTAAAACAACTTGTGTCGGTATATACGGTCGGCATACATAGGTACAGATTAAAAACGAGATCACCCAATTAGATTCCAAGGTTGTGTGAAGTCTGAAGGTGATCAACTCATTTGTCTGTGTGAAATAAATATTTTTTTAATTTACAAATATTCAAGTAATTACAAAGTTTGATTTAAGAACAAGAATCCTACTCGTACGGTGCGTTCTCACCAGTCGCCGTGACTGCATACAATTCATTTAAATTTGAATGAGAGCCAAGCAGCCAGCTGCTATATCGACCCTCAAATTGCCACACTCAATCATGCGTGAAGGTGCTGTAGACTGCTCTAATTGTAATAAACTTCCTAACAAAATCTAGTCATTATTCTAAATCACACTTGATTCATACCGATATTTAGTATCTCTGTGTTAGTTGTGGGTTTGTGAAGGTTATTTCGCTTGAACTAAACGCAAACGATTTCAAAATTTAACTGTGTTTGGAAAGTTTCACCATTCGATTAGATAATTATTTATTTTGTTTGATACTTATTTTTTTTTTATTAAATAAGTATAATATTTACAATTAAAACAAGGTCATATTTATTTCCAATACCTTGAAAGTTTGGCACGAGTGATTTTTTTACATGCTCGCCACAATTGCTTTGTGTCATTTTTTTTTTCACATTAACAAGAACGATTTCACAAGCTTTTATCGGTTTATTGCAAGCCCTAAACAGGATTGAGTGATATCAAGTCCAAATATAAAAGTGGGTTACTTTATTATAGTTTAGGAAAGCAAACTTACAGATTTTACGCCCGGTTTCTGAAACACTAATCATCATAGAAGTCAACTTATCAGCTGTTAGATCGCTTTTCAAATATAATTTCAGTTGACAAAAAATTGTTAAACTCTCTGAATTGATCAGAATGATGATGGTCAGTGTTTCAGAAACCGGGCGTTAGAAGTATCTTAGACGGTGCTTAGAGGAGAGAAAAGAAGAACTTAGTTTAAAACATTTTCATAAATAACAGTATTTTTAATAAGACTAGACAATTACATAAAATTGTATATTGCGAACCGATTACAAAAATTACCTTAGCTACGGTAATGTCTATCGCTTCTTCTAAAACTTGATCGCCTCGATTCGTGCGCGATCCGACTGCCGTCAAAATTGCGCCTTCGAAAGCTCTACGGGACGCGTATCCGATAATTGTTAGCACCTGTCCCGGCCTCAAAGCGGCCCGTCAACGCGATGGGAAGCGATGCGAGGCGATGGAAGCATTCGGAACTCGGCCGCGGGAAGGCGGCAAATCAACGCGCCGAGTAAACCGAACGGAGGATGTCGCCCCGAGATCGAACAGCGCGCATCGAGACTTTCACCTTCGCGGGCGAAGCGCCAAGGCCGCCGGGCGAGCACCGTTGCGCGTACTTCCGCGGCGCGTGCCGCCGCGGTCGTACGCCGCTTTTGTTTTTGCAACGCGTTTTCGACAAAGCGAAGGCAACGGTACACTGCTGCACCGGGGCACACGCAGAGTCGACTATGACGATATAAATTGTATAAAAAATCCAAACGTATAGGTTACACGTAGATTAAGCGTTTTCGTTTCGCTCGGAATAGTACTGTCATAAGGCGAGTTTGTCCAATTCGTTTACGATTAGTTTTGGAGGACCGTGACAATTAAAAACAATTGCGCGTGGTTAATGACATCTGCAGGTTTCTGTTTGTTTCGCTTGCAATATGTGACAAAAGTAAAATATGCGAAGCTTCTTTAAAATTAGAAATAGCAAATCACGTAAAAATTATACATCCTTCACAAATTTTTAAATTCTGAAACTATTGCTTTGATATTGATAATGACATATGAAATAAAAGTTAAAAAGAATAAAATTGGCCAATTAACTAACAGCTTGTCATCATATATGTATGAATATTGTTATACGGACGTGTTTTCTTTTATTGCCATTAAGGCGGGTAAAATAACAAAATATTATAACCGATCAAAGGAAATAATTGAAAACATGTTTATGGCTGTACGAGCTAAAACTCTCTTTGATTTCCTGAACCAAAATGTTGGAATGTAGATTCAAAAAGTTCAATATTATAAACGGAAAAACAAATTGGAACAAATAATAAATATTTTTAACAGAATTTTAAGTATATCTTTAATATCGATCAGCGTGATCATTAAGATGTCCTTTTAATAAGTTGTAATAAACAAGTAATAACTATATCTTTCTCTATTACACCACATTCGGAACAAAGCAAGCAATACAGTGTACATTTTTTATTCAGCGTCTATTTCTCGTTTCGTGCAAATTTCGTCCATATATGTACATCGTCAAGGTACATATTGATGTTATCCATCTTGTTAATAACTTGGTACATATTTAAAAACGTTTTGTAAGTCTGCTACTATTGAAAGTCATTTTTACAAAGTTATACATACTAGGTTATAACTATATATAGTTTCTGTTACATATATAACAGAAACTTACGCACCTATTACGCAGAATTTAATAGTTTAAATTATAATCTAAACTGAGTTGTATCTTTTCCGACAATAACTCCCAGTGGTCAGTTGTCGCGCCAACAACGCAAGGCCGCCGAGCGATTTACTAATCAAGTTTACAGTAACGAAATTCGTTCGCAGCATTGAAATGCTATCTGCTATTGTAATTTGTTACCTGCTTCGAAGCGTTCGGATACTCCCAACGAGTTTACACGCGGCCGACCCATATTCAGTGCGACGAGTGTACCGTCTCATGCTGCTCGTTAAATCGCCGCTTTTAATAGAGATGATGGCTCAAGACTCGAGACTCCATTATCTTTATATATATAATTCTTCTGTACGTGTGTATGTCACTGAACTCCTAAACGGATGGACAGATTTTAATGAAATTTTGTGTGTGTCTTCCGGTCTATTCGAGTATGTTTTAGATTCACAATTAAGTCCATATTGTTTTAATTTTTTTTTTTATTTATATGTTGGTTTTGTATTTCATAAGTGTGTAAAGGACGTCTGTCGGGTTCGCTAGTATTTAAATAAACGGGAGCACGGTGTGCACGTGCGAAATTCTAAACTGACATTTCGAGTAATTCACCGCACTGTCGTCTATACGCTACGTCGATAAGTGCGCGTTCGCTTTATTTATTTCAAACTTAGATTGAATGTCATGGGTCGCGCTAATTCGGTCCCGTGTAACGCGTCTTCCTTTGACAATTTCCACGGGGCTCGCGGGCGACGGCCCGTAATTTATAAAGAGCAAAATATACCGCGTATCGCACACGAAGCAGATTGCATTTAATTGGTTAGACTGCGATGTTTTTGCTCGTTTCAATATAACGTAACGTTTACGAAAATCGTATTTAAAAAGTGTGTCTTTGCAAAAAAAAAAACTTACACATAGACAAATCTAAAAATTACTTACTAAAAGAATATTTAATAACAGCCGAAAACCAAAAAAATAAAACAAGAAAATATAACGGGAGATGTGTGTTAGTACGAGTAAAAAATGTAGAGACCGTCACGTAAGAAAAAAGGTTATGATGTCTTTTCTAATCAACTCTCAGCGATTTGCTCGTTTGTCTCTTTCTAACACACGTAATTTTTTTAAATATAATATTCAATCATAATTCAATTAACTAGCCCTTGATTTATTAGTTTAATATTTTACTTTTAGCTATTCTCGAATGCTGTTAATTTAGTACATTGTGCCTGTTATTTAATTAATATTATTCAAGCGATGATTCTTTTCAGCTGATTCACACAGAACACCTCTCCTTACATTTCCAAACGAGAACGGCAGTACATAAACCTTTAAACGCCCCTCAAATAGTTTAGTCTCTGCGCAACTTGCCTCCGCTAATATAATGACGCAAATCATTAGAATCACCGATAACACTAGTGTAAACAGAATGTTTCTACGTAAAAAAACCTTCCTCCAACATGACTGACGTCTTTGACCGATTATTTTTGACATTGCATAGTTTGATAGGTGTTGTTATCGAAAAATCGCGTCTGTTTTTTTATAATCGCACATGAAGTTCTTCGCGTCATCATCAATTTTCCACGTGGCTGGATGAAAATGCCGCCGTAATCGACTGAATGCCACAGAAGACTGTTAATCAGCCCAGTTAACAAAAATATGTTTAGGATGCCATGTCATCTACGTTTACTCATCAAAATTAATAATATCCATAACAGATGAGTTTCTTGAAACCATTCAACGTAAAAATAAACATTCTGTGTATACTTTTCATTTATCTGACGACCGTCTGTCCTAAAGATGGTAAAAGGTTGTCGTAGGTTATCAAAGGTTGGAAAAAATTTACATCAAATCTTCCACCATATTCGATAATATTTAGTGTTAAACTTGAATAAGAATTGTGCCTATAGTTTTTTTAAGTGACTTTTCGTATAAAGCACCAGAGAACACCTATCATATAAGAGGAGGAGGAGAGGAGGATATCATATCATATATCAATATAAGAGGAGTCATTCGTTTCAGTTGTGGTCATATGGTTTACTTTATTATACAAATATGGTGTCCGTAAAAAGGCAAAGGAATTTAAACGAGTAATTCAAAACAGCCGCGTTTTTTGTTTCATTTATCCTTTGACTTTTTAGTTTTGCAGTATTTTTTAATAGAACCCAATATTTTAGCTATCGTAAAATTTCCTCACAATGTTTACCAGTCATCTGCTGAACAAAATGTAAAAATAAAAGTATTAAAGTTTAATAGAGCATTACTGACATTTTATCTCTACATGCCGTTTTAATTTTAGAAGCGATGCCCCAATTAACCACTTTATGCATTGACTGTTTATATTGTTAGCAATTATCAGTTCACTACAGTGCAATATAGCGAAAATGAATCATCGATATGGACCGGAACTAAATAACAACTTAGTTTGTACAAATTAAATGTAATCAAATAAAGAGGCAAGTAAATCACTTCTCTCCATTTGTACAAAACCTGTACGCATTAGAACATTAGTGAAAAGACGATCACAGATCCAAATATTATTTAAATCACACTTGGATAGTTAATAACGCTCTTAAACTGGTGCAAACTTCGTTATTGTTATGTTTGGAAATTTCCACACGACAAACAATAAGCGGTTGATCTTGTCATGTTTTTCAACATCGCTTTGTAGAGTGGCGCGACGTGTACGATAGAGCAGTGCGCCAAAATAAACCCGTCGAGATTGATAGAAAGGGCGAAATCGTAATACCGACATGCATTTCAACGGCTGCACTCCGATAGCAACGTCGTCCACCATTTTGGAGGAAACAGACGCAACAAATCCTGACAAATAACGTCACAGTCCATTGCTGACGCGTTAAATTCTCGCTTTACTATATGACATTACGATAAACTTCGCAAATAATTGGCGCCTCGTGGAAGCGTCAAGAGCGTTTGTTATGAAACGAGATGAACGTTGCATAAAACACTACGGCCGGCGCGGCCTTCGGTAATCGAAGTTGCTCCGTATCAACGCGTTCATTTACATCGCGATGACGAAAGTTTGCTTACGCGCTGTACGAACTACGAAGTGTTTAATGTCGTAGGACCCACTCCGATTGGGGACAAATAATGATTGTATACAACAATTTACTCCGTTCTCACTGTTTGTGACAACAGAGGATATGTTTCACTGGTATGCGTGCTATTATTTGCAAGTAAATAAAGCGTAACGTGTTATTTAATTGCGATGGAAAGTTTTCTATTCACTCAGTGGCAAACTTTCACTTTATATGCGCCGAATAATATTCGACGCTAAGACGTCGGCGACTACAAAGATATAAACGTAACTCAGACTTCGGTGCATCAAAAATTCATCGCATAACTATTAACTAGTAAAGTGTAAAATTATTCGCAAATCGCATTGCGACGTAAGTGATAAATATAAAAAGAAAGGAGTCAGTTACAAAATCGTGTTTACATTCGTTTTATGTTTATAAAAATCTGTTTTTTTCTTCTTACGCCGATTACGTTGTCGGCCCGGAGCGGGAACAAAGAGAAGGCGCGCGGTGGCCGAGCGCCGACGGAGGCGCGCGGAAACTCCCGAATGGGCGCCGATTGGCGGCGAACCGGAGCGTACGAGCCCGCGTTGCGCCTTGCTTAGTGAAAATACTGGCAGCTTGTAAACGAAAACGGCCAGGATGGAAAAGAAAAAATCACACCGACATAACCTACAAACCTTTCCCGCGTTTTACTTGTCACTGGCATAAAAGATAATGAGTACCAGGATAAAGAAAAAAATACTGATTTTCATTTGCAACTACCGATGTAGGTAAGTTTCCTAATTCAACTTATACGATGGACATAAATGAAAGTCTAGTTTAATATTACTTTCTAGTTTTAGTAAAAATTCACTTTTATTCTATTTATTATATATTCGGGATCGGGAGTCGAATTAAAAGCTTATCTGAAACTAGGGGTTTTACGGAATAACGATTGTGAGAAATATGATTTATATTCTACTTTCTGCGGTTATTAGTCGTCATGGGTGACACCCAGGGCCAGATTCAGAGGTATGGAGGC